TAATTTTTAAAGTATCAAATTGAATTTTTGTTCAATAAAAATCTTTCAAATGCGACTGTAGCTTTCCCCCCACCCCCCAAAAAAAAAACTTTGTCTTCAAAATAAGGGCGCGTCTTATATTCCGAAAAATACGGTAACATGCATATTTTTCCCTTTTAGAAATAAATATTTATTCGGGTTTTAATCATTATTAACTCAGATTTACATCTCTTAGAGGAAACATTTTCAGTAGACTTTTCTGTGAAAAAATATACTAGTTGTAGAAGTTACAGAAAGAGTTGTTTTTTTTTCTTCTTCTTAATATTAGACAGAAGAAAGAATTAAAACTAGTTGAGTTGAACGAGTTTAGGGCGTTAAGTTTGTTAACCCAATGCTGGACGTAAACTGTTATAAAATAAAGATTAGAACTAGTATGTTGTCGTCTGGCAACTATCTCTATTAGAAAACAGCCAATGATAAGCGCTGACTTTCTCTACTTGGTGTTTCATCGAACGCGAAAGAGTAACTATTAGTTCCACACAACTTGGCTAGGTGGCGCTGAATAAAATCACGAGGTTTCTCGAGAGTTTAGTTACTGATAAAAATCAAAGCATTCTTAAACAATTCGTCACTAAGCGTCGGTAGATGAATGCGGCGGGTGAGTTTGAAATGGTTAGGAACAATATAAATTGCATTGTGTTAATATCTGTTTTATTAACCTCATTTATATAAAAAAATGTTTATTCATTAACTGTAATTAATTTGGACCAATATGGACTACATTAATGTTACAAATTTTGATTATTTTAAAGAAAAAAGAATTAATAATATGTTAGAATAATCACTATTGTTAAACAGATCGAGTGTGATGCTCTTCATTTTCTAAAATTTAGAATAACAAAAGAAAACATGTTTCTTCTGTATGTGTTTGTTAGAAGAAAGTAAATAACTTGTCCATTTGTACTTTTTGAAACGGAATTAACAGTTACGACTTGGTCTTATCGCCCAAGAGTTCCAGCGGTGTAAAATCTCGGGCAACATAGTTATCGCTTGCAACGTCGTGTCTCCTTTGTGCTCCCTTTAGTCGTCCTGAGCGGTACTATGATCGAATATAATGCCTTCTACCCGGGGTACGACTTGGATGAGATGAACATGGTGTTTGATGTAGACGATCCAGATTTCTCATCGGATCTCACAATGTCGAACATGAATCATTGCGGTAAGTGACTGCATATAAGAAGAAAAAAAAAAGTTCACCATTAAAAAAAGGTAACTTTGAAATGTTTTATACAGATACTTGCATGTGAATTCTGGTACTGTCACAAGTTTATAATGTTAAACTTTGTCGCTGTAACGTTTGCAATTGTTTGAAGTTCAGCACAAAGCTACACGATGGGCTATCTGTGCTCTGCCCACCACGGGTATCGAAACCCGGTTTTTAGAGTTATAAGTCCGCAGACATACCACTGTGCCACTGGGGGTCAATCAAACATATAGTGACTTCGAATGTATGGTATCTTTTTTGTATGCATGAGGTTTAAAATAAATCTATAGTTCTATATAATAAACACGCCTTTGATAAAACTATAGCTATATATATTTCACTGTATAATGACGTCATAGTTTTGTATAGACTGGCCTGTGGGTGAATCATGTGCCTTGTAATTGTTCGCTCCTTTTGGATTTAGTAGGGTGTTTATATAGCATCGTACATGTAAGTGTCACGTATTTTAATATAATTCCAAAATTTTACCTGCCATTCCTTTATCGGCTCCCCAATGGCACATCGACATGTCTGCGGACTTACAACGCTAGCAACCAGATGTCGATACCCGTGATGGGCAGAACACAGATAGCCAATTGTGTATCTCTGTGCTTAACTACAAACAACAATAATTCCTTTTGTTTCTCCCACTAAGTTATTCAGAAAAAAATCGTCAAAGATCTTGTAACGACCCGCATTATTTTCAATGGAATTTTCCATAATGAATACTTTAATATATCAAACACTGTGACAATGTGAAAGAGGTTGAAGTGACGTTTAATGATGTGGGTGGTTTAAGCATAACTTATTTCAGGTTCTTGGAAAATTTCACGTGAATGTATTACATAAGTGATGAAGCTTACGAAAACCGGTAATGAATCGTGTTATTGTGTTAGCTGAGAAAAAAACATTTTTTTCTATAACTAACTATACCACCTATTATGTGGAACTTCTATCTTCACGGGTTGTATTTGTTTATGATAATGCTATAATATTAATACAAATACTTAAGGTACCATGGTAGAAATATTTTTGATATCAGTTTTATGCATTTATCGTGACTATCAGAGGTCCGCAAAACATTTGCGGTCAAAATTAGTACCTTTATTGCCACAGTACTTACTTCAATACAGGATTTCTGGAATAATACAAAATAATTCTAATCGCAGGAACCGAAAATTTTCAAGGCCTAACATCAGTTTAAACCATTATTAAGTACGGCCTATATTCTATAAAGATAGAAATAATCACTGTATTTTGTGTAAGTTTTTTCCTTTAGTTACGGCTAAACTTTACCGTACTTAACACTATCAGTAAATAAATTTATAATGTTATTCTATGATATAACATTAGACTTTTTTAAAAGCTTTGGTAAGCTTTTAATATGTTGTACAAAGTGTCTACTAACGTATATTTACATCCGTTGAAATCAAGTTTTCAGGACAGACAAAAACTGAGTGTTATAATAGATGGTTACAATTTTCTGCCGTCCAATATTTCTTAGCATATGGTTGAACATAATATAAGTTGACGTTTTTTATAACATTAGATATTATTCTGATAATAGGATATCTGCGTTATGAACATCGCAGGGGCCGAACTTTAAATTTTAGCGTTACAAACCTTAAAGCTTACTTCAAAACCACTAGGAGATTGTTCTGTTAAGAATCACTGGTTTATGTTTTAAAAGATCCGCCTGTAGCATAAGTTCTTTATTTATATTTCTAATTCATGTTGATATATTTGACAAGTAAGGCTTATTTGTGTTTTGGATATCCTATGCGCTCATCTTGTACTGGCAGACCTCGTCCGCCCGTGACTACATTTCCAACCTTTACCTCTTCTAATATCACGTGCGTGACGGCCAGTACTCGTGTGTTTAAGGGTCTCACGCTGATCTAACGGTCATTGTTGTTTCACCCTTACTACTGAACCAATCCAAATTCGTAACGTGGGTCACGTCTTGTTGAACTGCTTCACTCAGAAGATACTAATTAGAGAAGTAGTGTGATGGAGTGGTACTAGTGTGAGTGATGTGATGTATTGTTGTTGTTTCTTCATACCAGGTTGGAATTTGTAACAAGTGTTAAACCAGGTTGTCTTGTGTGGTAGTAGTACAATGACTTTCGACCTTCGGAATTATGTTTTTTGTACTACCAGTACTACCGCTCTATTTCGAGAGCACTTGTTACTCATCACGATAAAAAATAATAATGATAATAAAAAGTGTGAATCAGCATATTTGTTCCAGAAACATCAGGCAGTATTATCTACTTTTTATATTAATATAATAAACCGGGAAATTGTCAAAATACAACATTTGAGGGCAGAGCGATTCTACTTTCAATATTACCTTTAACCTGTGTGATAAATATATATATTTAACATGATGAGCATAATTTCATGATTTATTTGTTTGTTTTTTTTTAATTTCGCGCAAAGCTACACGACGGCTATCTGCGCTAGCCATCCCTAATTTAGCAGTGTAAGACTAGAAGAAAGGCAAATAGTCATCACTACCCACCGCCAACTCTTGGGCTACTCTTTTACCAACGAATAGTGGGAATGACCATCACATAATAACGCCCCCATGGCTGAAAGGGCGAGCATGTTTGGTGGGACGGGGATTCGAACCCGCAGATTGCGAGTCGAGCGCCCTGACACCCAGGCCATGCCAGGCCTAATTTCATGAAGGCGGTAGAAAAAACATTAAGTCACGTGAAGAGGCTTGAGACGTCTTAACGACGCCTTCACATTGTAGAAACTGTTTTACAGACAGCCTATAAAACAACAAGCTAAGAGCTATACATACTTTAGCTAAACTATTAAAACTTTATATAGTATGAATTTATTAACTACCGCATTTTCTAAAACAAACTTTTGACAAATATATTCTATACAAAAGAAACAATATATTAAGTTATGAAATGCGTTACAACCAGTAGATTTCAGTAGCCGAACGTACTTGTTTTTCGTTATCTCCTCTTGAGTCATGAAACATGGTATTCGAATCATGTTACTGATAAACATGCTAAAAATATTCTTAAATATGCTTTTAGGGTTGTTCACACATAACAAGTGTTGTCTGATTCTTAATCTTGGAATTACAAGTACACTACTTGTACACACAGAATTTTAATCAATTTATTGACACAATGTTATTTAGAATACATTACTATGGCTTTATAGCTAGATGTAAAAATGATATTAATAGCAATGAAGCAGAGAAGGTTTCCCAAAAACTTTTGTCTAAAATAGGAATCGTTTTTTTAAATTCATCAATCAAATTTCCTGCTAAGTAGTAAGTAATATTTTTTCTAAGCATTGTGTGATTGAAAAATATTAAAAGTTAACCTATTTAAGCAGTTTCAACAAGAAAGTTTAATAAAGATTTATCATGAACAAAATAAATCGAATTAAAATATTTTTTTAAGTGTAAAAACGATCAATTCAGTATCATATAAGACAAGTTATAATTGAATTTGTTTATCAAAATATACATATTTTTACGTACAAAGAAAAAATATTCCGAGTTGAGATTATAGTACTAGGAATTAGTGTAGTTCTCGTAACGAGAAATTTAAATTATTTTTAGGAAAACATTATGAATAATACGAAAAACTCCACTATTATTTACTTGTAAAATATTTTTTGTTATGGGAGTTACGAGTATTTAATAACAAGTTCTTCCTCTTTCCTAGGGGGCTCTGAGATATGCTTAAGGCTTGCTACGCCAAATTTGGAGTTAATTCTCTGGGTGGCATAGTATAGGTATCCTGTTATGTAGCCTTGTGTTTAACAAACAGTAATATGAAGTTCACTTTTAATATTCATAAATAGGCGTAAAAGTTGGGGTAACTCGCGCGAGGAATGACATCAGCAAAACGATAATCTTTATTATTAATGTCCTTTATTTTATCGGACAGGAAATCCTAGTGTCACAAGTTCGAAACGTGATATCACCAAACACGTTTCGCACTTCCAGTTGTGGGTACGTTAGAGCAACGACAGTTAAGACGAGCCGCTTCAGGTCGCGGGTACTGCCAACTGGGCCTTCCCTCTGTCAGGTTGGACGGCTGTGTCTGAGCCATAGAGGTCTCTGACTTGCCCAAAGGTGTCGTTATTTTATCATACAATAAGTCTACTGGGACACTGATGTGTAACATCATACATATTTAAAATGTCTAGGCAATTATATGGCTTAAAAATGCTACTCTAGTGTGCATTATTGTTCTCATTAGGCTTGGTTTGAATTTCTCGCAAAGCTAAACGAGGGCTATCTGCGCTAGCAGTGAACGACAAGAGGGAAGGCAGCTAGTCATCAACAACTTTTGGGCTACTCTTTCAGCAAAGAATAATGGAATTGACCGTCACATTATAACGCCCTCACGGCTGAAAAGGCGAGCATGTTTGGTGGGACGGGGATTCGAACCCGCGAGCCATGCGCCCTAACAACGTGGCCATGCGACCCATTCACATTAGGTAACATGTAGATGTCAAACAGTGAATTTAGAATGAATCAACTCAAATGACGTGTTAGAAACCATTGTAGTTGTCCATCAAGTGATCAAAACGTTTTAACATTTCACCATGCTTAAGAATTTATTGGTTTTCGTTTTTGCTATTGTGCCAGGTTTGAAGAACGACTATTTTATGTTTTTGAATCCATAATTTGATCATAATTTAAATACACGAAGTTATACAGTTTTATTAGTTTGTTTTTAAAGCTCAAATTTGTATAAGTGATGATTTTTTTCCCTACAAGTTCAAAGGATGTTCCAGTATTTTTATTTTGTATTAGCTAATGTACTTGTTCAACTAACAGGGACGACATAAAAGTCAGGTTTGGTGACAATAGGTCCAGCGGTTTCCTAGTTATAAGCGGGGGCACACACATTTGCCAAATAATGATTTTAGGTTATAAGTGTTATAAGGCCTATTATATATATTATAAT